GGGGGTCTGCTTCGTCCTCTGACCCTATCCCCTCTCATGTGTTCTCTCTCTCTCAAATAAATAAATAAAATCTTTAAAAAAAAAAAAGATTAAAATGAAATGTGTCTTTTCTGAGGAAGTGAGCCACAATTCTTAAGCTGGCAGATGAGTTGCCCGCTTGTGGGAGGCTCTTTCAACGAGGCATGGAGGGGGAGTCTTGCTGCTAGGGAAGAGCCACTAGGTCAGAAACCTACCCCCCATTTTACTTTTTATGAGAATATTCCACAGGGGCAAGGCGTCTGTAACCCTGAAAGTCTCAACAAACCACCTTGTGCCTCCTTTTTTTCGAGATCATTTAGCTGAGTATTTCCTAGGTAGTTGACTACATAATAATTCAGGAGTGTGTTAGAAACCTAATAGCCTTCTCCTTGCTCTCTTCTCCTCTCATTTTCTTTACAAATCATTTAGGAATCGTTTTGTTAATGGTTTCCGGAAAACCAAGTACCACCATTAGGGCTCATTCATATTTATGTCATTTTGTTTGGGTAATTAAACACAAAGCTCGTCATTTAAAGGTGCGCTATCCTTCTCTGTTATCACTAACGAAGTCAAAGTCAGAATGACAATGAGTTTGGCGCTATAATTTAATAGGTGGGTGCATCAGGGACTCTCGGAGGCTTTGAGGCTTGAGATGGGGCTCAGGAAACCTGTACACAAACAAGGCATCAGAGCACGGCGGTCACTCCAGGACCCGTGAGGCACAGAGGGAGTGTCTTCTTCCCACCCTTCAAGGGCAGCACGCAGTTAGAAACTGAGCGCGGTGTGGTGTGGTTTTCTAACTTTCTATTTTATGCCTTCAAAAAGGATGGTTTCTCGCAGACTCTCACTTCCTCATCTCTAACTTCGCTGGTGAGTTAGCTGTGACTGCTTATTTATTAAGTCATGTGACTGACTTCCACATTTCTAAAAATTCTTATGGAGTCCTTCACAGTTGAAGAATTAAGGAGCCCAGGATTAAGGGTCAGCAGTGCACCCTTCCTAGTTCTTTTATGCAGTTCTCTTTCTGGCCCCCAACGTGCCCACTCTGTTTGGAATAGCGGCTACAAAGATCAACTCTTCTCGTCAGGGTGGGATGGCCAAGCTGGTGTCAGCCCGAGCCTTGGTCAGGACTCTGCTGCCATCTCTGGGGCAAGGGGCAGGGAAGCATCTTGTTCTGAAGGAAAGGAGGTGCTACGTCAATCTCTCCTGACAAAGTGGGTGGGTGGTGCTGTTTTCCCCATGATGCAGTGGTCTCTCTGGCATCCCAGCCCTGTGCACCCCACACATAGGGACTGGATACCGGGACTCTTACCCGCTGCCACCGAACTCGGACATGTCCATCTCTATCATTGGTAATTTATAGACTTCTCCATGGCTTGAGGACTTATGCACATGCCCTTACTTATGCAGATTTTGGGGGTTGGAAAAAACAAAACAGTGAATGCTTCTTGGGTTTCAGAATGGGAAAAAAAAAAACAACTAGATTTACCCAAGAATCCCAAAGCCTTTCGTTTAGGAGAATATTTAATACTCTTATTAATCATTTTTAATCCGTTTGCTTTTAATTAAGAAACAGCATGATGCTTTCCTATCAACATATGCCAGGGAGCAGATTAATTGTGGCTTAAGATAACTCTCCTTGATTGGTGTAATGTATTAGCTAACGAGATGCCTGCTTCTAACGATGCTTAGACACTATGCTGGAAAGCCAGCTACCCTCTAGAGAAAACTCTTCTGCCTTCCCCTCCCGTTCCCCTCCCATAGCCACAGAATATGCTAGGTGTTTAAATTAAACATTTAAAAAGTTCCGAGACAGGATTAAGGCAACACATTCCAAGTTTTGGAGTTGAGGCTCTCAAAAACGGCCCCATGTATGAAAGACTTGCTGTTCGCTCAAAATAGAACTGGATGACAACCACCAAGCCAAACCTCAATAAAGTTTCCATCACAGCAGAATACACCAAGGTGAAGGGGTCGCAAATCCTAGTCAATAGCATTTGTAGCAAGAATAAACAAACATAAGCACCCAGAGTGCCACAGGGTTTTCTTAACGGGCCTGGGAGGGTTTAAGGTACTGCTGTGGCCTGAGATCACTGGGAAAGAGCAAGGCTCCCTTCCACAGAGTTAGGGGGCTACGGTTCCTTGTCTGCTCCTCCTAGAACAAAGATGTAAGACTCATCATTCTAGCCATCCAGAAGGACAGGCCAACCCTATTCCCAGAAAGAAAGCCCTTATCATTTCTCTCCTTAAAATTATGAAAACGTGGCTGATTATTCCCAGTGTTCCAGTGTGGATTTTAAAAGCAAGTGTGAAATGCTGGACTGTTAATCTCATGACAGGTCTGGGCTCGTAAGTCACCTGTCTCACACTCATCCCAATCAGAACATTTTAATACTAATAAAGTACTGATAATTAAACATCACAACACTAGGCCTTACAATAAATGTTCAGCGGATGCTTTATCTTTCTCTGCATCAGTGGATAAGTATCTCAGGCACTATGCAGTCTCACTAATTGTATGTAGTAATTAGTCTATCGCACAAAATCTAAATGACCTGTTTAGAAAGTTTCCTTTCTAAGTATTGGATAGCTGTTAAGTCCTCCTTATTCAATGTACAGGAGGACCAGAGAATGACCAGGGCACTGTCTGATGGATGTGAGTCCTAATTACCATGCCCTGTAAATAACTCATCTTGGGAGCTATCTGGAGACCCCTCCGGCAATGTGATTTTTTTCTGAGGCTTTGGAGTAAAATAGCAAACAGCCATGTGGGCTGGGGTGGCCTGTGGACCCCGTCTCCTCAGAGCTACTCCAGTCTCAGCCCCATCCAGGGCCAAAAACATGTTTTCTAGGTTCTGCCTTCCCTCCTCCTTCCCTGGCCTGAAATCAAAAGTTTGGTGCATGAGATTCGTCCAGGGGTAGCTTGAGGCTGGGCTTCGGGGACAGGGGAAATCATATAACCCTATCACTGGTGCTTTCTCCTCTGTCATCCTCACAGGGGCCTCCACTGACTGACCATCTCGTTTGGAAATCCAGAGTACAGTGAATGGGTGGTAAATGATCTGAATCATAAGAACGAATTTTGGCACCCTAGATTACGGGTAAGTTAGAGCAAACCACATCAAAGCACACGCACTGAGAATAGACTGTGCTCACGACTCCTGCCACGATCACGAAGTCACACGTCTGTAGCTCTCAGTTTACCCTCTGACGTGTGCTGAGCTAAGAGGAGCAAACGGGCATCTCGAGTGTCTACTGAGTGCCAGGCACTGTGCTTCATATCTTCTTTATCATGTCATTTAAAACTCACCGAACCCTGTGAAAGAAACATCTTCTCTATTTTACACAGGAAGGGACGGGGGCTTAAATAAATACCATGTCCAAGCCGGCAGGGCTGGGATGCACCACATTCGTGAGATTCCGAAGACCACGTTCTGCTCATGGCCCCACACAGTTCCCATCTCAGTTTCTACTACTGGGGCTTGGGGGGAAAAATCAGTCTTTGAAATTCCACATACCTCAGACTGTGGATCTAAGAATCGAGACAGAGAACCTACCTGCACAACAGACACGCACTGTATTCCTATGACCCAATTTAAACTGAAATTCTTGGTACTGTTTTCAGGGAGCTGCAGTGATGCTTTGCTTCTCTCTGCAGTGAAGCCCTGAACCATAAACCTTACTATTTCCTACAGCAGGACTGTTCCAGTGGGTTCCCACAGAGTCCCGTGACTCCCGGGAACAGATTCCTCTATGGGAAACAAAAGAATTGCCCTGCTAAGTCACATAACATCGCAGTGTCTTCAAATTTTCTGTCCCTCAATCTCTTTCTTCAGGATGGAGATTAAAAAAAAAAAAAAAAAATTCTCTGGGACAAAAGAACACACAGCACGGCTCAGAGATGCCGATCACTAAATGCCATTCCCTGCCAGTAACCACAGAGGATCAGAGGGTCACTTCCTGATGCAAAGCCAAGGTCTAGACTTGGCTGGTGTTTGCACCTGAGACTCAGTGCACAATATTTATCACTGTTTGAAGAACCAGTGGGGGGCGGAGGGGTGACATTTTTAAGGTTTCAAGCCATTCCCCAATACAGAGCCGATTCTATGCCAGCCCTTCAGAGGCAGCACAGACCACTTCTGACCTGTGCAACACTTCCTTCTCTCAAGGGCGCTAGAGATTTTATCAGCCACCCCACACTCAACTAGTCCTGCTGAGCCTGCAGAATATGGAAGGAGGTTTCAAAGCCACATCCTAGCATCCCTGCCCTTCCTTTCTCTCCTCAGCTGTCCTCCTGGACTAAAGAGCTCAAGAGAATGCGGTCTTTTGTAGACGGAGGGAGGGAAGGAACAGCCTAAATGCCTGGGTACAGTTGGCTCCCAGTGCCTCAGGCAGCCTCCTCCTGCCCTCTGGGGCTGGGGTTGTCTCCTGCACTTGACTTCCAGCTGGGTCTGTGTATAGACAGCCCACTGTTCCCTCCAGCTCTACGAGACAGCAAGGACCTGCTTCTCCAGACGCACCGTCCCCTGGCTACAGGATGCTAAGGATCAACTGAAGGGCCTATCCACTCGCTTCATGCTCGGAGGGAAGCTATTCCTTCTCCTCATCCTTGTGCTTACTGAGGCCATGCACGTCCATTACTGACTAATGTGGTAGGAAGGCGGTGCGGGCCGCTCCTGGCCACACACACACACTCCATTTACCTAGCCGGCCACTCTTAACTGGAGAACAACCTCTTATTTTACACTTGCGTGACTTTCAATGCCAACTTCCACTAGAAGCTGCCAGTAGCCACTGACAAAATTGTCTCACTCAATTATGATGCCACAGACTGACCTTAACCTGAACCAGATGTCGCATAAGGCTGCGCTCACCCGCTGCACATCTGAAATATTTATCTAAAGAAGCTTTTCAGTCGTAAAGAAATGGGTAGGCTTAACACAGAGGTGAATCTTAGAAGCACCCAGATTCACTGGCTTTAACAATGACGGCAAATCCTGGGAGTTCCTTCCTGAGAACAGTCGACAGAGACGTCAAGAAACACTTTGCAGGAAGAGGCTCAAGGGCTTGCCCTCCTTCAGCATGCTAACCCAGGAGGCACCAAATGTTCTGATCAACTATAAGGAAAAGACATTTTCAGCATATACTATCGATATTCTGATAAAACGGATATATGACATATATGATTTACTTTTAACCCATATAATAACTACCAATAAAGGTCAATTTCTTTTTCTTAATAAAAGTAAATAGAGAAATAAAAGTTCCAACTCTTTCTTCCCATCCTCTTATGGACTGTCTTGTGCAGCCCACAATGCCAGGGGCAAATGCTGGTGTCTCGTCAACCTGGGCTCAGACCCAGCCCAGCCCAGCCCTGGGGCCAGAGCACCAGGGACACCATCTCAGTGGGGGCACTGGTCCAAGCCCTGTGTCCTCTCCATGAGATCATCCCAAGAAGATGCCGGGTTCATGGTTCCCTGCAGGCAGGGTGGAAATTTCCTTCCAGCTCAGATTTGAAACCAGAAGCTCTTCAGTTGAAGCCCCAGCACCTCCTGCCCAGATAACCATCACCTCTGATTAGGCTTCTTGCTCCTGACCCTTGAAGTTCCACCCCCTATCCAGCCTCCTGAGCGGTCTTCTGCAACACAAATCAGAACACGTCACTCTGCTGCTTTAAATACCTCAGTGGCTCCCCACAGACCGCAGTCCAAACCCTCAGCACACCTTCCACGGCCCAGCACAATCCCAATCTCTTGGGATCTCTTGCCATCTTGAAATATCTGCAGTGCTTTGGATGCATGATACTCTTGCTATCAGGCCTTGAAACATGTCATTCCTTCTTCCTGGAACATTCCTCCTACCTTCCCCCTACTCCTCACCCCCATCCCAACCTTTTCTGCTGGTTCATTCCTACTTTGTTTTCAGGTCTGCTGAGACACCACTTCTGGAAGTCCTAACTCTCCTCCTCCTTCCTGCAGAGTGGCTCAGGTGCCCTTCTCTGTGCTCCATGATGTCCTGGGTGTGCTATGTTTGATATCAGCCACACTGTTGTACATGACCTCTTGGCCAATCCATCTCTCCCTCGAGATGGTGGGCTCGGTGTGGATAGGAAGAACATCTGCCTCTGTCACTTTCGGGGCCTGATGCAATGTCTGGTACATAGTAAGTCTTCAAAAAGGTTTGCTGAAGGACAGAATGAGCAGCAAAAAATGTCCTAGGACCTCTATCATGACATGTCTCTGTATGGGGAGGAGACAGGGCTGAGGCCTGTGGGCTTCCCTTCCACTTCTGCGTTGAGAGGCCTGGGGATCCTCAGGTGGGGATAAGGGGCAGAGCACGAAGGCTCCTCTGAGGGCATCCACCTACCTTCACGGTCCCTTCCACTTCTACAAACCAGCGCCGTAACATGGCCTGGATCTGGCCGTCAGTCAGCTCTGGGTTGGCGTTGTGGATTTTCTTTTTGACCAGGTCCTCCAGCAGGAGACGCCGCAGCCTCCAGTAGAAGAAAGTGCGGGCTGTCCTCCAGTCCAGGATGTCCTACGTACACACAGGAACACGCTCAGCCACCGCAGCCCCAAGCCCTGCGCAGTGCCCAGTCCAGAGGGAGCTCCACTGGCACAAAAACCCATCCTCTCTAGCAGGCCCCTCAGAGACTTAACAGCTGGCCGGTGCTCAAGCACCTGCCGCCATCTCCCCAGGTGGGAGCTACAGCCCCCGGCCCAGGGCACTGTGCCCGGCCATGGCCCCGTCAATGCGAGCCCCACCCGAGGCTGGGATGTTCTGGCGGGGCGGCTATGAATCTCCAGGTAATGAGACAGTGCGGAACTGGTTTGGAGCAGAATGGCTCAAACAACTTGCACGCAGGTCAGATGTGAACTGGCTGCTGCTGGAACCCCGACACTGAATCCACAGCCTGAGGACCACCCGTGCAGCTCTCCCCAGAGGAGGCATGTGAGACTCAGTTTCCCACCAGTAAAATGGAGCTTGCCTTCTGAGGGGTCCATGGCCATGTAAACCAGAAATCATTTTGGGCTGACAACGGATACACAAAAAAAGGAAAAGTCTCTCCAAAAAAATTGAAAATGCTTTGATCTGCACAAGCTGTCTCAATCCAACCCTAACAGCTTCCTGCTGGTGAGTCTATGTGCACGAGACATACGCTCGCTTGCCTGCTCGCAGGGCTCTGACAAGTCAGGGGAAGTGGCAACCACTGTACTTACGTTAATAACACCCTTCTCCTGCATCCGGCCTGGTGTGTCGTGCAAGTCAGCAAACTGCACGGCTACCTGATGGTAAATGGGAATTAGGAACTCCTCCCGCTCCTTCAACTTGTTCTCCAGCTCCTTCCGCTCAGCTGGGCTTAGCTCTGGGGTGCCTGCAATTAAGTAAACCTGCCCGTCACACTCTGCGACGACCAGGAATCTCTCTGCACAGAAGCAGCCATAGTCATGGGAAGCTCAAAAACATCCCCCCCACCCGACCCGCGCGCCTGTGGCCTGGCTCTCCATTGTCTTCACCACCTCTTTGCTGAGTAACAGAACTCTGTGAGATGCCAGACTGGTCCGTATCTTACCATGGGGAGCCCACATGTCCTCCTTTCCCTGTGGAGGTCACAACTGTAGAAGCAGCTATGGGAGTCCCCTTCCCCAAGTCCTTCTCTGAGCAGGTGCACACAACCGCCTGGGGGACTGTGTCTCTCACTGAGTCACAGCCAGGAGCCTCCTTCCCCAGGCAAGACACCAGGCCGGGGCCTGACTACTGTGAATGTGGGGCAGGGTGGGGAGCAGTCGCTATGCCTCCAGGCCCAGACCAGCAGCCCCTTCTCCCAAGTCCACACAAGTCACCCGCTCAAGGACTCCTAAAGTTGCAAGCTGCTGTTACTCCACAGCTTCTAATCTCAGGTCTGAAAACTCTTAACCTGAAACCAGTAGAATGTACTCTAATTAGAGCCAGACCTGGGTGTCTTCTGCCAGCTCAACAGGTTAGATTAGCCAGCTTCCTAGTCTACAGCTGGGCTGCTACTGCCAGAGCCAACCCCTGACCAGAGAGAGAAAGACATTCTAGTTCTTGGGCTAAAAGTGAAGGAAGAAGGGAAAAGAGAAAGGCAGCCTACAAATCCCATTTGGATCACTAAGCTTCTAAGCACCCAGTACCCTCATTCAACAGATTCCTGTAAGAAATCTGGAATTCCTTGTAACAGGGAGGAGCCCCCTCCCCAGACACCCCCCCTGCCGACTCCTGCCTTCAGTCAGTAGCGTCCCAGTAGAGGTGCTGCTATGTTATGCTTTCCTTCCTAATTACTCTCAGAAGGGACTTGTAATCAATACTGAAAATTTAGCTGCCTGCCTAGTAAAGAGGAGTAAGTCTAGCTGAAGGAGCAATAGGTGACAGCCCCTGGTGTTGGGGACAACCTGAAGTGCTTTGTCACCAAAGCTGACAAATAAATACATGACCACAGGTGATGGGTTGCAGAAGAGAAAGGTCTATTTCAGGCATGTCTGTCTGGAAACAGGCCTTGCTTTTTATGCCACTATGAATCATATGCCATAAACAGCCTTGGGCTGCTGAGTGAGCCGTAAGTATTATAGATAAACACATGTTAATAGAACAGGGATGTAGCCACAGGACCCAGTTTCATTTTTATGAGGTTTTTCAGATGCCCACCTCCACCTCCTTTTTTTTAAGCCCATCACTACTTGAAAACCACGAGGAAGAGAGCTGCCGGCTATCTCCTCTTGGGCTCTCACACAGAGGGCAATCGTTGACCTATCACACTGGGGCCCTAACACTTAGCAGCCTTCTTTCCATGCCAAGCAGAGCAGGGCTATGGGATGAGATGAAGGCCCATCCAATTCTGGGGCGGCTCTGCCTAAAGAATCGATGGGAAGAGAGCCAACTGATTTCTTCTGAGGTGAGATTATCTCAGTTGTAACACCCTAGACAGGGAAGCAAACATTTTTCCTTCTCTAGTAAGAGGAACCCAGACTCCTTGGAGAAACAGTGGATGATTCCAGGGCTGGGGCAGGAAAAACAGAAGATGAGCCTGGAACATATGGTCATAAAAAGCAAGACCACACTCAAGTGATTGGGATGTGTTAAAAGGACATAGGAGCCGGGTTGAACGTGTTCCCACTGGCCAAATCTGGGACAGTCTGAGTATCAAATTTATCAAAAATAGGATGATATTAATTACCAGAATATTTATGGGATGAAATAACCTGTGAGTCCATCCTAATATAAATAATTAAATAGGGGAAGAGGGAAGGGAAAGTTCTCCCTTCCAGCAGAATAATAATTAATATATGTAGAAGGAATGATGGAATTAGAAAACCACCATTTTACCACTGTCATAGCAATTGATTCTGCCAAGAATTATCAACGGATACTAAAACTAGTGGGTGAGAGTTTGATGAGGAACAGAATATTTACATTGTCTCAAAGTATCCCCTCACAAATTACTATTAGCCAACAAAACCTTAAACAAGTAATCACAATTACCATCAAGAATAGGAAAAACTGACATATGCCTCCTGATATGATGTCCTGATCATAAATAACACTTCTGCAATATTCCTGCCAAAAATGCGTTATCTGAATTTAACCATGGGGAAATATAAACCAAACACAGATTGAGAAACATGCTACAAAAAAGGGGCCTGTGGTGCCTGGCTGGCTTGGTCAGTGAGCATGTGACTCGTGGTCTCAGGGTCGTGAGTTCAAGCCCCATGTTGGGTGTGGAGATTACCACAACCAACTGGGTGGCTCAGTTGGTTAAGCATCTGCCTTCAGCTCAAGTCATGATCCCAGGGTTCTGGGATCGAGGACCACATCGGGCTCCCTGCTCAGCAGAGAGTCTGCTTCTCCCTCTCCCTGCCGCTCGCTCCCCCTGCTTGTGTTCTCTTTGTCTCTCACTGTCAAATAAATAAATAAGATCTTAAAAAAAGAAAATCTTACCCCCCCCCCAAAAAAACGTGGTCTGTATTTAAAAAAAAAAAAAAGTCAAGATGATGACAGGCTAAATAACTGAAAACAGGCTGCAGTGTGTGGTCTAGGGTTAGATCTCAGATCTAAACCACAAAAAAAGAAAAAAGTCTATAAAGGACATTATTGGGACAACTGGTAAAATCTTGATATGAATCATGAATCAGAGAGTAGTATTGTATCAATGTTATAGTTCCTGATGTAGATAAGTGTCTTGGGTTACATAAGAGAAAGTCTATGTCCTTAGAAACACACACTAAACATCTATGGATAAAGGAGCATGATGTCTACAAATGACTGTCAGATGGTTCGCAGAAACAGTGTGTGTGTGGAGAGTGCATAAGTAAGCATATGTACATGAGCACGTGCAAACGATAAAACAAATGGGATAAGATGTTACCAACAGGTAAATCTAAGAAAAAGGCATCAGAAGTCCTTTGTACTCTTCTAGTAACTTGTTTGGTGAAATTATATCAAATGGAAAATTAAAAAATAAGCCAAGCTAAAAAAAAATGTTTTTCCTGGCTCCCTGATGCCTAAAATCAGAAGTCAAAGTTAGTATTTGTGGGGTACGGGGCACTATTCTAAGTGCTTTGTATCTACTAACTCGCTTAATCCTTACAACCACCTTAAAGCTGGTATTCTTACTATCCTCATCTTACAGGTGAGCAGACTGAGGCACTGAGAATTTATGTCACTCACCAAGGTTACAAAACTAGCAAGGGGCAGAGCCAGGTCTCAGATACAGCAGCGTGGCCCCCAGAGATTTGGGACACTATGTTATCTTGTCTCTTCTTGCTTACTTGGGCCAGAAGACAAGGAAGTGCTTCAGTAGCAGAATCTTGTTCATTTCAGAAAAGGCTAAATGATGATGGCAGGCTCCTGGCTGATACAGCTGAAGTTCTGTCTTAGTCCCATTCCATAACTGAGACCAAGACAACATCTCCAATAATTCCTGCTCTGTAGATCAGACACGGTTTCCTAGGCATGCCTAAGATTTTTTTTTTTTAACTTTGTCCTAATATTTTAAAAGATTTTATTTATTTATCTGAGAGAAGAGACAGCATGGGTAGGGGCAGAGGCGGAGGGACAAAAAGACTGCCTGCTGAGTGGGGCTCAATCCCAGCACCCTGAGATCATGACCTGAGCCTAAGGCAGATGCTTAACAACTGAGCCACCCAGGCGCCCCTGTCCTAATATTTTTGTAAACACTGATCATCATATTTACCACATTACATCTGTTTATGAGATTATCTCCTGAATCAGCCATGTTTGTTGTATCGTTTCTTTATATCCCACGTCCCTAAGACAGAGTGTGGCCCATAGCATTACTCACTAAATATTCCTCCTTCAACTTACTTTACATTCCACTCACCCACCTTCATGTTGATATGAACACAGTGTCATTTGTTTGCACTGTTTCAGAACACCCAAAGTGAAGTTTTAATACCAGCCCAGACCTGGTTCCTTGATTGCCAGGGTGAAACAGAAATGTTTCCTTCACTCTGTGAGTCAGGAGCCATCTCCCCATCATACAAGAAAGCAGTGGCTTTAGACTCGTTTATTACAGTGATCCAAGAACTTGTCCTCTTGATGCTGTTGGGGAGTGTTTAAAAGTTCATGTAGATGGCTTCTGTGACACAGGACCTGGAAGGCACTGGGCCTTTCTCTCTACATCACTTGCCCCCCTATCCTCCTTGTTTTCCACTCTTCAGTCTAAGGCTGCCCATGACTTAGAAATTATGCACACTTCCCACTAAGGGCAGAGTGCTTAGTATCCTCTGTGAGTCACCTGACTGTATGTTTTACTCCTTAATCAAACGGTAAGTCTGAGCTTGGGAGAGCACGTTGTTTGCTCTTGTGTTGTAGAAATAGGCTAGTCCAGAGCCACATTCAGGCGCAGTGATGTTCAGGCCGGAGACTGGTTGTACAGTGGGACTTTAGTCTTACAACACTTCTGTACTGGTTGGCAAGCAGTCACAGCCCTGAGCACCCTGAGCATCCACTCCCCCACCACTCATGCTCCAACCCCAGAGTCCCTGAAACCTGCTGGGCAGGCCTAAGATTTAAGGGTAGCTCCTCATGTTAGTGTGAGATCAAGAACTAATACAACAGCAGGTAAAATCACAGCCCTGCCAGGGACAAGGGATGGCAGGAGCAAGGATATGGATGAATAGGAAGTTCCAGACCTTTAGAACATCCTCCCTCTGGGTAAATAACCAAAACTGTGCTTGCATATGTGTATATCTGTACGTGTACATATATGTGTACACCTGTACCATATAGAACACGTACCATTTACTGAGCACTTACTATGTGCCAGGCACCACACTCAATGCTTTCAGGATCACATAGCTCGTAAGTCACCATGCACAATTCAGATCTAGGTCGGGT